TTTTTAATTGAAAATTCTATATAATTACATTTTGTTTCCATTTCTTAGCATATTACTTTTTTAGTGATGTTCTCTAGTTTTCAATATCCACTTACAGCTAATCCAAGTCCAATTTTAAATATTAATAATAGTATACTGCTTCATGGGTAGTGTAAGGACCTTATAAAAACAAAATAAACCTATTTCTTCTCTGTTGTCCCTTATATCCATCATGAAATTCATGTCACTTATAGATAAGCATATATATATATAGTCAAATGCATTATTATTATTTAAACAAATTTTACTCAGATAAATTAAGAAAAAAGAAAATAAGAAGTTCTTATTTTACCTTCATTTATTCCCTCTTTGATGCACTTCTTTACTTTATGCAGATCTAAGATTATGACCTATATTATTTCACCTCTTTAAATAACTTTCTTCTAACATTTCTGGCAAGCCAGGTCTACTGGCAACAAATTCCCTCAGGACTATTTGTTTGAGAAAGCCTTCCTTTTTCACTTCTTAAGGATAATTTCACAATGTATAGAATTCTAGGTTGGTAGTTTTTTTTCTTTCAACACTAAACACTTCACTCATTTCTTACTTGTATGGTTTCAGAGAAATTGAAAGTAATTCTTATACTGGTTCCTACAGGTTGAGTTGTTCCCCCCCTACTCCTTTCAGAATTTTTCTTTATCTTTGATTTTACATAGTTTAAAAATTATATGCCTAGGTATAATTTTTTGGCATTTATCATCTTTGGGGTTCTCTGACCTCCCAGGATGTAGGGAAATTCATCTGGGGAAAATTTCATTCATTATTGAATGAATATTTCAAATATTTCTTCTGTTCCTTTCTCTCCTTCTACTCCTGCTTTTCCCACTCTATGTATGTTATACCTTTTGTAGTTGTCCTGTAGACCTTGGATAGTCTGTTCCATTTTTTTTTTTCTCTTTCAGTGTTTGTTTTCTTTGGTTTTTGGTTTGAGGATTCTTTTGATAATATCCTCTAGCTCAGAGATTCTTTCCTCAGTTGTTTCCAGATTACCAATAAGCTCATCAAAAGTATTCTTCTTTTCTTTTATAGTATTTTAGTATGAAGTATATAATCAACCAAATATTGAAGAAAGATAACAATAAGAAGGCACTGCCATAGTAGATATCAAGAAATTATATAGTGGTATGGTAATTAAAGCAGGGGGATATTTCGACAGGAATTCACAAATAAACCAATGGGATTACTGTTCAAAATGAGTCAAACTGAGCATTAAGAATAGTAATTAATATGGATCAAACAAAACAAAAACAAAACAAAATAGTCTATTTCAATTTCCTATTCTTGCTACAACAAATTACCACAAACAGTGGCTTAAATTAACACAAATTTATTTTACAGTTCTGGAAGTCAGAAGTCCTCAACTTAATGTGTTGAAGAGGCTTCATTCAGTTCAGAGACTCTACAGGAGAATCTATTTCCTTGCCTTATTCAGCTCCAAGCTGCTGCTGCTGCTGCTAAGTCACATCAGTCGTGTCCGACTCTGTGCAACCCCATAGACGGCAGCCCACCAGACTCTCCTGTCCCTGGGATTCTCCAGGCAAGAAAACTGGAGTGGGTTGCCATTTCCTTCTCCAATGCATGAAAGTGAAAAGTGAAAGTGAAGTCTCTTAGTCATGTCCAACTCTTTGTGACCCCACGGACTGTAGCCTACCAGGGTCCTCCGTCCATGGGATTTTCCAGGCAAGAGTACAGGAGTGGGTTGCCATTGCCTTCTCTGTCAGTTCCTAGAAGGCACATGAATTCCTTGGCTCCTTGCCTCTTCCTCCATCTTCAAAGCCAACAATGTAGCATATTCAAATATCTCCCCTTGTCACCTGACTCTCTCTTTCCTCTCTTTTCCTCTTAGGAGGAACATGATTACATTGAACCAAGTTGGATAATCCTCCCATCTCAAAGCCTTCAGCTTAATCATATCTGCAAAACCTCTTTCACACGTGATTACATATCGACAGGTTCCAGGAATTGGTAGGTAGGTATCTTGAAATGATGGGAGGGAAGTTAATTATTCAGTCTACCACCATCACTTTTGAAGTATATTAAAAATCCAACTTATTTTAAAAACTATTAGAGAAAGGGAGAGAATAAGAAACCTGTCTTTTCCATATGAACTGTATCTCATTTTAATCAAATCATTGAAGAGTGAAAGTTTCTGTTTCTAGAAATATTGAGCTCATAAATGAAGAAAGAATGACAAAATATTAAAAGAGAAAAAGAAAATAGAAAGAAAACCAGACACTGTTTGCGTCTTAATAAGACTGTATAAAACCACCTTCAAATCATTCTTGCTAAACATCTGAAGTGAAATTTAGTTAGCCTTCCAACACTAACTGTGTTCTGGAAATAAGGAAGAGATACCACAGAAATGCAGTCAAATTTAGGTAAAATTTAGTCAAATGTCAGTAAATTCTATACGATAGAAGATCTAAAGTCTTCAACAAATAAAGTGCTTAATTTTCTTTGTGTTATTCTTGCACATTTTGTTAGTTCATTCCTACATATTTTATGGTTTTCATTATTACCAATGTGATCCTTTTCTTCGAGGCGATTACGAAAATACAGGAAAATAGTCTTTTCTTAATGGTGGTTTCTTACCATACCATCTGCAAACAATGACAGCTTTGCATCTTGTTTTTCAACACCTTCCTTTTTCTTCTAATTTGACTTCTTTTGTTTTATCAAATTGTTGAGGAACTAAAAATCCAATGTTGGGTAAAAATAATCAGCCTTGCCTTGTTCCTTGGGTATTTTAAATGGTTTCATTAAGACATTTTAGAGAGATTTCAGTTTTTGGTATATTCTATGAATTGAGTGTAAACCTACATTATGGACAAACTAGAGTTTTTTTTTTAAATGAGAAATGGATATTTATCAAATGTTTTACTGTATCTATTGAGATCATCATTTGTTTTTTTCTTCCTCTAATCTGATAATGTACTGAATTACATTAATAGATATCCCAGTGTTAAACCATCCTTCCATATCTGGAATAAACACTATGTGAACATCTAATCCTTTGCCATATTTCACTTCATAATATTTTATTTAAGATTAATGCATCTATAATATTTTCATAACTGTGATTACCTACAATTTTGTGTTATTTTTTTCTATTTCTGATTACAATTCGTTACTGATTCACAGGGTAAATTTAAAGCTTTCTCAGGATTATACTAACTTCAAAGAATGAGTTGAAAGCATTCCATCTCCTTCTATGCTCTATAATAACTTATATAAAAAGGAATTATTTACTCTTAGAAATTTTGGTACATGTCCATCCCAAACTCCCTAATTATCCGGACACCCAACAAGGACCTATAATATAGCACCTGCTCAATGTTATGTGGCAGCCTAGATGGGAAGGGATTTTGGGGAGAATGGATATATGTGTGTGTGTATATATATATATATATATGCCTGAATCCCTTTGCTGTTCCCCTGAAACTATCACAACGTTATTTGCTAATTGGCTATATCCCAAGACAAAATAAAAGTTAAAAAGAATTTTTGGTAGAACTAGCCTATAAAACCTACATCTGATGGCATTTTTATGTGTTGAGTGTTCAATATTTTATATGTTTAACATTCTATTAAGATTTTCTACACTCTCAAGTAAATTCGTATTTTTCAAGTAAAATTTATTGTTCCCTGAATATTGCTTTTTCTGGATTTTCAAGCCTATCAATAGAAAATTGATAGTTTATAAACATTTTCAAATCTCATTTTAAACAAAAAAGATCTCTACCGGTTCATTTGTCAAGAAAACAATAAACTTTCAAACTTTTGTGAGACTATTAATCAGAGATTAGATCTTCTACCATTTGCTGTATCAACTCTGTTCCTTAGCTATCATTTGATCTGTTCAGAGTTTCATGCATCTCTTATAATTTTATTTTCCTCAAATACTTGTTGATTTTGTGCTGCCAGCTGACCTTCACATTAAGATGATCCTTGTTCATTTGTCTGTGGATGGCTGGTTTGCCAAGCTTGCCTTTAGACACTGTAGGGGAGGCATAAAGAATGATGGTAGGTAGGTGAGGCAGTAACTTACATTCAGGTTGTACTCACTGTCACTTTTGAACATCAGTGGCCAACTTCAGAACTGCCCTCCTCTTACTGTCAACACCCATAATAGCTTCTTTAGCATTGAAATGAATGCCACAGAATCCCAGTGTCCTATAGAAGCAGCAGAAAGTAAATGGGCTAAATAGTGTAGCTGCTCTACTTGCTTTCATCAGGTCAGTTCAGTTCAGTCAGTCAGTCATGTCTGACTCTTCATGAGCCCATGGACTGCAGCACACCAGGCTTTCCTGTCCATCACCAATTCCCGGAGCTTACTCAAACTCATGTCCATTGAGTCGGTGATGTAATCCAACCATCTCATCCTATGTTGTCCCATTCTCCTCATGCCGTCAATCTTTCCCAGCATCAGGGTCTTTTCCAATGAGTCAGTTCTTTGCATCAGGTGGACAAAGTACTGGAGTTTCAGCTTCAGCATCAGTCCTTCCAATAAATATTCAGGATTGATTTCCTTTAGGACTGACTGGGTTGNTGACAATATACAGCCTTGATGTACTCCTTTTCCCATTTTAGACCAAGCTGTTGTTCCATGTCCAGTTCTAACTGTTGCTTCTTGATCTGCAAACAGATTTCTCAGGAGGCAGGTCAGGTGGTCTGCTATTCCCATCTCTTTAAAAAATTTTCCACAGTCTGTTGTGATCCACACATTCAAAGGCTTTGGTGTAGTCGATAAAGCAAAAGTAGGTGTTTTTTTCTGAAACTATCTTGCTTTTTCAATGATCCAATGGATGTTGGCAATTTGATCTCTGGTTCCTCTGCCTTTTCTAAATCCAGCTTGAACATCTGGAAGTTCATGGTTCACGTACTGTTGAAGCCTGGCTTGGAGAATTTTGAGCATTACTTTGCTAGCATGTGAGATGACTGCAATTGTGTGGTAGTTTGAGCATTCTTTGGCATTGCATTTCTTTGGGATTGGAATGAAAACTGACCTGAAAGTAATGCTTTCATCATTTTCCCTCTCAAAGTTTCTCTCATTTCTGTATCTACTTAGGATGCCTAAAGAAATGTAGCATTAACTGTGTAGCATCTTTTCAGTACATATGGAGCTACAGTTTCATCTAATCAATAATCTATCATTTTAGATGTCATCAAACCTCTTACCTATAGCATTCTGAATTTTGGAAATTTTGGTCTTTTATAGGATTTTGGATGCAAGAGGAATTGTACATGTGTGCTTAGTTCATTCTTTTGATAAAACCACTGTTCCCTTTGGAAAAGTTCTTCCTGCTTCTTTGGGGCTCTAATCATGTTCTTTCACCCATTCAGTATGGTCAACTTGGGTCTTCTATAATATCACTCCTCTGGTCACAGTGACTAACTGAGAGCAGACATATAACGCAAACACAGAAAATAATACTAGGAGGAGGAGTGTCTCTTTCTTTTGGAGGTGCTAAACTGGAGCTGCCTCTTTTCATGTCCACCACCAGCTGGAGGAAGCCAGACTGCAATAGAAAGCAACGAGGCCCTTCAGAAAAAAGAAATGAAAAAAGTCTAGGGGAGATGAGAAATTGAACCATATGCATGCATATACAGATCCACATGTACATACACACTCAGTAACATGGTTGACTATGAGATCCAGTTGGTTTTAGTCCGGCTTTCACCCCTGCATTTACCTGTTAGTGACTTCCCTGGGAGTTCAGTTGGTAAAGAATCTGCCTGCAATGCAGGAGACCAGGGTTCAATCCTTGGGTTGGCAAGATCCCCTGGTGAAGTGAATGTCAACCTACTTCAGTATCCTTGCCTGGAGAATATCTTGGACAGAGAAGCCTGGTGTGCTGCAGTCCATGGGTCCCAAAGGTTGGACATGACTGAGTGACTAAGCACACAAGCACATGACCTAATAAGATATCTTCTCCTTTTTTAAATTAATTGAATTATTTTGAGTGGAATTTCTTTTCCCTGTACCAAAAAAATATACTTTCTGGCTAACTCATTCACAGCCTTTAGATTTCCTCTTAGACTTCATTTGTTAATGGAAGCCACCCTATATTGTAATTACTTAATCATCTCTCTCCTCTCATTCGACAATAAACTCCATGAGGACAAGGATCATTGCTTGTCACTGTGTATCCCTGGAACTTTTGTACAAGGCCTAGAGCATTAATAGGAACTGGATCACATCAACATGTGGAATAATGAATAAATGTAACTGTATCATCTCATTTTAGTAGATGCCCAGCAGTAGACACCTGGTTAGAACCATGTCTTTGGGTATCTGCTGTAAGTTTTTGATCATCATCATTGCTACTATCCTGTAGGGTTCTTTGTGTACAAGTATTCACTGTTTCTCCTAGTTTTCAGGTAACAAAAGCAAAGGACATAGCAGTTTCCAGGTTTCTGGGTGGGCCCTCAAAGCCATAGAAAATATACACTCCTTAAGGCAGGAGTCCCAAACCTCTGGGATCTAATGCCTGATGATTTGAGGTGGAGCCCAGAAACAAAGTGTACAATACATGTAATATACTCGAATCATCCTGAAACCATGCCCCTCAACCTGGTCCATGGAAAACCTGTCTTTCACAAAACCAGTCCCTAGTGCCATAAAGGTTGGGGACTGCTGCCTTAAGGAGACTCTGGTTCCCTTATAGCTGTTATGTCTGTGAATCTGTATCTAATCATATTGCCAAAACAAGACTTGGAGAGTTCTTGGATTGGGTGATTAAAAGGAAATTCTCATCTCTATAAATAAAGTGTCACACAATACTTCATCATCTAAGATGGCTACAACTACAGGTATCTATCTGCTGCCTGTGTTCTCTGCTCCATTCTGTCATTATTCTAGCTCATTCTAGTTGTTTACAACCTTTTACATCATATATTTATATGCAAACTATTGAATGAACTACAAAATATGCTGCTGATAGAACTATATATATTATATTTCTAGATTATGAAAAATCTCAGGTCAAGAATAATGAATTACCAAAAATGTGCCTCTATGACCTAATATGAAATTTCTTAAAAAAGGTGAGTAGAAATAGCTAGAAACAATTGCTAAAATCAAATATACAAATTCAATTTTCTTTAAAACCCACAAAAAGATTTGAGTATGATTTATTTATGTTCTCTATTAATAATTAAAATTAACATTTAGCAATTATTCTTAGAGGTGATTTATGTGTTTTGTTATAATCATCTATTCATAACTAAGAAACAAACTAAATTTCGTCAGTGTTACTTAACTTGAATGCTTGCCTGAGATTTAAATTTGGAACACTTATATGGCTGTTGTATGGCCCTTGGTTGGTTCCAGAGCCCTGAGGTCAGCATGAATAATTATGTTAGTGGACCAGGCCTCTATGAAAGGTTGTTAATTAAAAAAAGGTATTTGCACGAAATGTTATCAGAAACTTCTGAAGTGCTATAAAATAATTGTAGTATAACATTTGCTTTGGTTAATCCTTTAAAATTATATGAATGATCTAATTCTTGAAGACTCAACATCCTTTCCTTAAGCAATTTTTTTACAGCTCTGGTCAACTTGGGGAAAATACAAAAGACAATAGAAAATAAATGTTTCAATCCTTGTCTACTTTCTCCATTTTTTCTTTCCATAAGCATAAATTTCACCTAAATATAACCTTACTACAGAGAAGAAAGGCACGGTTGTGTAATTAACAAAGGGAAAGGAAGTTCTTCATGAAATTTTCTTTCTTCATGATTCTAAATATCTGTGTATGTTGCTGTTGAAGCCACTACCATTTTCCCAAAGTTTTGCTGAGTAGATAAGATAGGGTTGTATGCCAAACAGATAATTATTACAATGCTGTCACTCTATATGATGTAATTCTGAAATGGAAATGTTTTCAGTGGAACTACTGTCAAGTGACATCTAATTTAAGATACAGAATGAGGAGACTGCAAAGAAGAAATTTTAAGGAAAGTCAAAAGCAAAAAGGGTTCCTTGTTTTCCTTCAGCTCATTTAAAAGGCCAAGAGTAGAACAAGTACCCAAATGGATAGTGAGACACCATGACTCAGGTGTTTAATGAAGTCAGCAATTTTTAAACTGCAGAATAACAATACTAGGGAACACCAAATGGCTAGCACATTGCACCTGCGTCTTAATATCAGGAAAATTATAAAGATAATGTAAATATCCCCTTATTCACTTTATTTCTGACCATGACCATTCCCGTCTCCTAGTTTTCTAGTTGAGAATCTAAAGAGCACTTTTTATGGCATCTTTAGAGTCGGATCTGACTGAGCGACTCTAAGTACAGCACCGCCTTCATAAGATGTTCTCTTATCATGGATTCATTTCTAGTAATTATGAGTATGTGATTATATGTAAGAGTGTACAAAAATATCTTTAGGTAAACCATTTCTTGTAGAACTGCTATTATATGCACTGTTACTGAATCACTTATGTAGTATTAAGAGGCATTGCTATGTGCCCTGCATTATACTATATGCTGCATAGTAAAACAGCACATGATTCTTAGCTTCAAGGAATACAGTTGGATTATGTCAATTATATCAATCCCTGGGAAATGATTAGAAAACCATATAATGTGATGTAAATGTACATGCTTATTGGTGTGCTAAGAGTAGCCAATATTCAGCAGAAAGAGATAAATTGGAATAAAATAATAGAATGTGATTAAAGAGTTTGTCTAAACCCTTCCTTTGAGATGCGATGTAATTAAGGAAGGTTTGCTTCGTTGAGAAAGTGGGATTTGAATTAGGCCTTAAACAATGAGTACACTGAAAATAAATGTGAAATTAGAGGAGATTTAACTGAATTAATTTATCTCACTTTTCCTGATTTTATTTGTATGAAGACACACATACTCTATCCAACTGAGCTTTGTCAAATAATCCATAAATACATAAAGTATATGTGATTAACAATGCTTTTAATGCCAAAAGACAGCTTATTTTCTTAATCCAAAGCTCACTTTGTGTAATTATTCTTTTTGCAAACTACTAGTTGGTTATATTAACACTTGAGTAATCTTGACAAGAAGTTGCTTTAAGCAGTTAAAGATCCAGATGCTGATCAGCATGCATTAAGTGATTCAGCTTAATTGGTTCCATCTAGATAAATTACTTACCTCAGTTCCTATCACAATTTCTTCCCTGACAGAGAAGAACAGAAACTCATACAGCTTGTAGTGTTGAAATAAGCTGAAACACAAAATAAATGTGGAAAGCTGATAAATTTATTTCAGGGTAAAAAGCAAATAGATAAGAATATTTAATACAGGAAAGTTGACTGCATTGACCAAGCTAAAGATATTAAACACTAATATGGTATCAGTCACCTCCACTACTTCAAAATATGTTGCCCAGAAATGCTAAGAAATGTAAAGGCTTATTTTCTGATACACTGACAATATAACAGTACCTAAATTAGTATCGGTAAACTAATCTGTGATGAATGGATAGGTTTGGGGTAGATTTCATCTTGAATTTTCTTGGCTCACAACCAAATAATGCAATGCACCTAAACACCAATCTTCATATTCTTCTTCATGTTTCGTTCCAAACTGGAATCAATTTCCTCTCATATGAATAGTACTGAATTCTAAGGCTACTTCCATATCAATTATACCTCTCATGTTCTCAAACTGTTTCAAGATTAATCTCTAATAACACCTGAAAAATGATGTAATGTTAACTGAACTACTTTTTAGATGTCTGATTTTCTTAAAGAATATTTGATTACTCATCAAAGGCAGGAATTAACTTAAGAAAGATAATTTCTTTAGCTCCTACCCTAAAGACTAGGTGGTCAGTGCATAAAAACTATAAAGAGATAAAAGATAGGAGTTTCTTAAAATATATGTATTTCTAGTAAGGTTAAAGATCTCAGCAATGTGTTACTGAGAGTTAAAAATTTACTGAAAGGTTGACTTCTAATATCCTGTTTGTGATAATATTTGAATTTTTCTAATTCTCTTCCTGCTGGTTGGGAAAATTAATAGACTCATAATACAGTGAAATGCCGAAGAACAAAAAATTGTCCTAGTGGTTTCTCTTTCACTCTGGTGCCTTTTGCTATTTAAGAAAATTGATTTTAATATAACTGAGAAATTAACATTTGCAAAATGTAGCTACAGAGCATGTATAATAATGGCTTCTCCTGAATGCTGTAATGGATCAAAGTTTCAATTCATTTGAAATCAATGAAGAAATCCTCAGGCAGCTGGGTCTCTCTGAGTTATATTAGCAGTTGATCTCACTACTAACACAATCAATTTAAAAAGTGATGTGTGTGCAGATCAGTCATTTTTTTTTTCTTTTTCACTACATTCAAATTAGTCATCAACATTCAGAAGACTAACTTAGATTTTGACATTACTTTGATTTGTTGGCTAGAAAATACATTAAGATTAGTGACATCTGATGATCCAATGAAGCAAAATACATTCAAACCCACCTTCCCTTACATTTGTTACCTAGAAAAAGCTTTAAGATTAAAACTATTACATTGTCAATAACTGACTCTGAGTAGAAAAATAAGGCTGTAGAGTATTTTGGAAAGAGCCTGGCTTCTTTTCAGTTAACTGGTATAAAATTTTCTTTTTCCCATCTTGTGTCACTCAATGAAGTCAATTCATAAACCTTCCTTCCTGCAATTTTATAATCTTTCCACTTTATTCTCCTTATTGTATATAGTAATTAGATTAGTATTAGTTGCTCAGCTGTGTCCAACTCTTTGTGACCCCACAGACTGCAGCCTATCAGGCTCCCCTGTCCATGGAATTCTCCAGGCAAGAATACTGGAGTGGGTTGCCATTCCCTTCTCTAGGGGATCTTCCAGATCCAGGGATTGAACTTGGGTCTCCCTCATTACAGGTGGATTCTTTACCACCTGAACCACCAGGGAAGTCATTATTAGATACTCCCATACTAAAAGAGAAGTTCACTTCTTACACTGAAAATAAAATGCATGACTTGGCTGCAGTGGTCAAAGAGGCGAAGCCGGGCAAGGTCAGGGCTACACAGTGAGACAGGCAAGGCGAGGGGCCACCTAAGGGAGGCACTGACTCAGCTGCTGGTCAGGTCACTCCCAGAGCCTTGATCTGGTCCCACCACAGCTGGGGTCCTCCCCCTTTACCAGGGAGACTTACATGGGAACAAAGTATCACTTCTGAAATGGGAATGTATTTTTTACCTCTACCTTTGAACTTCCAGTTGACTCAAATCCCTAGATTATTTTGTCAAACATCTGTCTTAGTCTCAAATCAAAAGGAGAGGACTCAGAATAAAAATGGGTCAAGATACCTGGTTCCACAGCAGGAAGTGCATGTGTGCAAAGAGGGACAGTGTTGCTTTTCTTATATTGGGTATACGTCTGTGCACATTACCTTCGCCTGATTTCTACAGAATACATAGAATATACAATGACAGAAGTGTCCTTGAAGCCGACAGATATCTCAATGATGTCTTATGTTAAAAAGCTATGTATATATTACTCAGATTACTCAGTACTCATAGCAATGTTGGGAAGGAATTTTGGTGTTCGTTTTTAAATTCATAAACCACCTTATATTGGTAGAGTATGTGGTGTAGACTTATTAAGAGCATCAAATGAAATCTCAATTTTATTGTCAGTTAAGTTTCATGTGCAGTAAGTCATGTTATAAAAATCACTCTTCCAAAATTGACTAGGGCTATCACTGGTTGATCAGTCTAAAATGAAACATGGTTTTTTTTTAATTAATTAATTTATTATTTTACTTTATAATATTGTATTGGTTTTGCCATACATTGACTTGAATCTTCCATGGGTGTTCATGTGTTCCCCATCCTGAATCCCCCTCCCACCTCCCTCCCCATCCCATCCCTTTGGGTCATCCCAGTGCACCAGCCCTGAGCACCCTGTCTCATGCACTGAACCTGGACTGGTGATGTTTCACATATGATAATTTACATGTTTCAATGCCATTCTCCCATATTATCCCACCCTTGCCCTCTCCCACGGAGTCCAAAAGACTGTTCAATACATCTGTGTCTCTTTTGCTACCTCGCATACAGGGTTATCGTTACCATCTTTCTAAATTCCATATATATACATTAGTATACTGCATTGGTGTTTTTCTTTCTGGCTTACTGCACTCTGTATAATAGGCTCCAGTTTTATCCACCTCATTAGAACTGACTCAAATGTATTCTTTTTAATGGCTGAGTAATATTCTACTGTGTGTATGTACCATAGCTTTCTTATCCATTCATCTGCTGATAGACATCTAGGTTGCTTCCATGTCCTGGCTATTATAAATAGTACCATAATGAACATTGGGGTACATGTGTCTCTTTCAGTCTCTTTCCTCAGTGTGTATGACCAGCAGCAGGATTTCTGGGTTATACGGCAGTTCTATTTCCAGTTTTTTAAGGAATCTCCACACTGTTCTCCATAGTGACTGTACTAGTTTGCACTCTCACCAACAGTGTAAGAGGGCTCCCTTTTCTCCACACCCTCTCCAGCATTTGTTGCTTGTAGAACTTTGGGATAGCAGCCATTCTGACTGGTGTGAAGTGGTACCTCATTGTGGTTTTGATTTGCATGTCTCTGCTAATGAGTGATGTTGAGCATCTTTTCACGTGTTTGTTAAGCCATCTGTATGTCTTCTTTGGAGAAATGTCTGTTTAGTTCTTTGGCCCACTTTTTGACAAACCCTCAGCAAACATTATCCTCAATGGTGAAAAATTGAAAGCATTTCCCCTAAAGTCAGGAACAAGACAAGCGTGCCCACTCTCACCTCTACTATTTAACATAGTTTTGGAAGTTTTAGCCACAGCAATCGGAGCAGAAAAGGAAATAAAAGGAATCCAGATTGGAAAAGAAGAAGTAAAACTCTCACTGTTTGCAGATGACATGATCCTCTACAGAGAAAACCCTGAAGACTCCACCAGAAAATTACTAGAGCTAATCAAGGAATATAGTAAAGTTGCAGGATATAAAATTAACACACAGAAATCCCTTGCATTCCTATACACTAACAATGAGAAAACAGAAAGAGAAATTAAGGAAACAATTCCATTCACCATTGAAATGAAAAGAATAAAATACTTAGGAGTATATCTACCTAAAGAAACAAAAGACCTATACATAGAAAACTATAAAACACTGATGAAAGAAATCAAAGAGGACACAAACAGATGGAGAAATATACCGTGTTCATGGATTGGAAGAATCAATATTGTCAAAATGGCTATACTACCCAAAGCAATCTATAGATTCAATGCAATCCCTATCAAACTACCAACGGTATTTTTCACAGAACTAGAACAAATAATTTCACAATTTGTATGGAAATACAAAAAACCTCGAATAGCCAAAGCAATCTTGAGAAAGAAGAATGGAACTGGAGGAATCAACCTGCCTGACTTCAGACTATACTACAAAGCCACAGTCATCAAGACAGTATGGTACTGGCACAAAGACAGAAATATAGATCAATGGAACAGAATAGAAAGCCCAGAGATAAATCCACACATCTATGGACACCTTATCTTTGACAAAGAAGGCAAGAATACACAATGGAGAAAAGACAATCTCTTTAACAAGTGGTGCTGGGAAAGCTGGTCAACCAATTGCAAAAAGAATGAAACTAGAACACTTTCTAACACCATACACAAAAATAAACTCAAAATGGATTAAAGATCCAAACATAAGACCAGAAACCACTAAACTCCTAGAGGAAAACATAGGCAAAACACTCTCAGACATAAACCACAACAGGATCCTCTATGACCCACCTCCCAGAATACTGGAAATAAAAGCAAAAATAAACAAATGGGACCTAATTAAAATTAAAAGCTTCTGCACAACAAAGGAAACTATAAGCAAGGTGAAAAGACAGCCTTCAGAATGGGAGAAAATAATAGCAAACGAAGCAATGGACAAAGAATTAATCTCAAAAATATACAAGCAACTCCTGTAGCTCAATTCCAGAAAAATAAAAGAGCCATGGTTATATTTTTGACACATGAGTTAGCTTCGTATTTAGAAAATTTCTTTGTAGCTTTAAAATGGTAACTATTATATGATTTAATTGCCATTAAACTAATATTTGTGGATCTATGTGACGCTGTGAACAAGTGTTGTAGAAAAGCACATTTCTCTTTACACAACGTCAGTATCAATTCCAGATATCCTACTTACCAAGTGATACTTTATTTTATGTGACACAGACACTTAAAACATATAGTTTCTCTGAAATCCATCAAGATTTAACAGCATCAAAACTAGTTCTGGAACTTCCTTAGTGGAGTAGTGTATAAGAATCTACCTGCTAATGCAGGGGACATGGGTTCAATCCCTCGTCTGGGAAGATTCCACATGCCACATAGCAACTAAATCCATGCACTACTGAGCCTGTGCTCTAGAGCCCACAAGTTGCAACTACCAGGTCACATGTTGCAACTACCATATCCTGCATGCTCTGGGGCCTGTGAGCCACAACTACTAGGCCTATGAGCCACAACTACTGGACCTGTGTGCTGCAACTACTGAAGCCTGTGAACCCCAGATTCTGTGCTCCACAAGAGAAGCCACTGCAATGAGAAGTCTGTGCACTGTACCAATGAGTAGGCCCTGCTTGCTGCATAGCCCCCACTCACTGCAACTGGAGAAAGCCTGTGCGAAGCAATGAAGACCCAGTGCAGTCAAAAAGTAAGCAAATTAATTAAAAAACAAAATGAAGAACTAGTTCTGATTTACTTTATTTGACTAAACTTCCAATTTTGGGGGGTAGGGTGGAGAGAGGTAAGACTTTTTACCTTTTACAAAATTTTACTTTTTTTACTTTTCTGTATTTGTATGTATGAATGTAAATAAAACAAAAAGAAACATGTTGATGAATATTCATCCAGAGAGATGAAGAAGAAAAGAGCTGCCATCTTTCACTATCTAGAAGGTGCTTGGGTTTTGCTGTTGTGATTAATTATCCATCCTTGTGCCCCAAATAAAACTCTTGGGCTGAGAGTTCAGCTTAAAAATGTGCAAGAGAGACCTAGAAGGCTCAAATAGAGAGAGAAAGGAAAGAATGGTCTAAACTCCCCTGCCCAGTAAAAGGATCTTGGGGAACAGGTTTTCCTTTTCCTTTTCTTTCCTTCTCCTGTTCCTATTTCCTTTCCAATTCTGTTTCCATTCCCTTCCCTCTCCCCACACACGATCTCCTTTTAGTCTGGTTGATAGGAAGACTACTGTGGCTCTCAGTGTGACACACATTAGGAGGTTATGTTGTTACATTAAGAAATTATATTATTATACATCAAATATTATTACATAAAAATATATCATACACCATTATTAATGCATGCCAGAAACCAGTATATAAACCTTATCATATTAAACACATTAATTTTTTTAAAAACTTCCAGACTACAACCAGGATCCTTGCCAAGCAAATCATGAGCATGTCTAGACTATCATGTAGCACCATTTATTTTAGAATTTTTAAACTTAAAATTGAAAAGTACTGCAGTATATAGTAATGGAGGAACAAGGATATTCTGCAGAAACTTTTAGTTAGGCAAAAGAAAGATTTTTTTTTTACCAACTCTTGTTTAAATATTTGCTAACTTTAAAAATATCTCTTGAGAGAGATGCATGACTCTCACGTAGATCTTGTGACAGAGCATATAAAAAGACAGACTTCTTAGTTCAACAATGAAGAATCACTGTAATAAAAATACTTTTCCTCCAATCCTCATCATTTTCGAAGCAAAGAGAAAGACTTAATGGGTTTAAATGGTCAATACTACAAAATATTTCAGGGCACATAATAAATCTGAGGAAATACATACATAAATCTCTTCAATTTCTAATACAAACCATTTAAATAAATGTTTAAATGGAAAAAAATTTTACTCTATAAAATGTAAAATTTTAACATCAAGATCAACTACCTAAAGAATCCATTGTAATCAAATCTGAAAAAAATCACTTTATTAGTAAGAGCAGTAGTAATTAGTGATTCAGAGAAAAAAATCTCAGACAAGAGTTACATATCTCAATGATATTATACTTATTAAACACAAAGTTTTTTTAAATCCACAAGGTTAACCAAAATGTTCAATGTCCTGGATCTATTGGATGGATGATTTGAGTATTATCTAATTATTGGTTGGGTTAATTACTGTATCGCTTCCCTGATAGCTCAGTTGGTAAAGAATTTGCCAGCAATGCAGGAGACCTGGGTTCGATCCCTGGGTTGCAAAGTTCCCCTGGAGAAGGGAAAGGCTACGCACTGGAGAATTCCATGGACTGTGTGTAGTCCATGGGGTCGCAGAGAGTCAGACACGAAGAGTGACTTTCACTTCACTTTATTACTGTATAAATTTTGTAAATGTCTAACTTAGTTAAAAATGTAGTTTCTATTTAATAGACATTCTCTAGAAAACCTGAAATAAAAAACTAAATGCTACTGAATAAAGTCCATACCTGATTTTCAAGTAATCAACAATAGCATTGGCTTGTTTCACATCAAAGATATTCCATTTTTCATTTTTGTGTGATGGTCCTATTTCAGCCATAACTTCTCCAAGCCATTTTATGCTGTCTTCTAAGGACATATGCAGTGCTGGAAAAAAAGTCCAGAGAAGTCTTAAGCATTATTTTTATGGATGCTTTAGCAACAAATAACCAAAGATGTCCTTAATGTGTAAAAATTTTAGTACTCATGAGGACAAATGGTAATACTACTGTTGTTTGTTTATGCCAATAATTACATTTTATGTAAAAGAACAGTAGGTGACAAACCCAACAATAGTAAATTACCATAAACACTATACAAATGTCTGAAGAGTTTGTTTCCATTTTAAGATGGGAAAAAACCCTCAAAAAATTACTTTAGAATGGAAAAGAAAATCTTTTTATGATCTTAGATTAAGAGTATAGATGGAAATGACCCAAAGGTTGGTTAGATTAGCTGGTAAGGAAGGCCTACATGGTAGACTCGGCTGTGGTAGACAGCAAAACTGAACCCAGAGCTGAAAATGTAAATGAACAGAATTGACTAATACTCAGTTTTAGCTGATTGTTGTTACCATGTGGGAATCTGGACCTGAAGTTTCAATAGATGTCAGGAATATGGATTTTTATGTAAAATATCAAGACTTTTTATTTTTCTTTCCTAAGCTACAGACATATATATGCTGTTTCTCAAATGTATGCCTGATGGTGGTGGTGAGAGCCAGATGACAGTGCAAAAAGAGTGACACTGACACCACTTTGTCACCATTACACCAAACAAGTCAATGATTTAAGTCAATTATTTCACTATTAAAAGCAAACAAACAACAAAGTAAAACTATTTCCTAAGGCATCCAGTTGAAAAAGTAGTAGTTAAGTGTCAAAAGCCTGAGACTTAAACTTTTACAATGTATATATTACAAATATTAACTTTCATATTTTCATTTGTGGCAGGCAAATACAAAATACACATACACAGACAGTCCTGGCTCCCTGCATGCTGAGGATGAATCTAGGTAACTGGAGTGTCTCGGTTGTCCTTTGCTGATAAGTGAAGGGTATATGGACATGACACCAAAGAGCATGGAGCTGGAGATCTGAAAGGCTCTAGCACAAAGGAGGTTGGATTGATTGCTTGGGGAAGGCATTTGTCAGCTGGGGGCCTAGATGAGGGCCTAAGAGAGAAATGTGCTGAACAATGTGAACCTCACCCTCCCAAGCCCAACCAAACCATTAAAGTTTCCACATCTTGTTAATGAGGTGTATGGATTTTTCAGGGAGGTAGAAGGGGAGAGTGCTGGGAAGTTATGAGAATATAGGCTGATTGTCGGACCCAGTTATTTCTGGGTTACACAGCTACTTTTCCTGGGATATAAGTGCTAGGTCCCCAAATTACTAATAAAATGACAGTAATTTAAAAATTTGGAAGACACTATAAATACCAACTTGTTTAGTCTAGCTTCTATGTGTAGGAATTAGAAAAGAAGCATAAAACTATATAACAATTAAAATCTAGTTTAATGAATGACAATTAGTCTAATTCTCATAGCCTCCTTACAGATACTGTATTATGTCTGTCAGAGATATAGAATTATTGCTAGATAACTAGGTTTTCCTATATCATTTTAAGTGGAGCTCAATTATTATTGAATTATTTCTTTTTTCATGACAAACTTCTTTTGAAAATAGTGACAGCAATTTAAGAAATGAAAAATCTGTTGGATAAAAGCACTTAAGAAATGAATGGATTACAATCTGAATCATTTTATTAATAAAATGGTATTAATTAGAGATGCAGAGAAAAAATTTAGATGACTGTAATTCTAGATGTAATTATACTTATCAAGCACAAAAATAAATTTATACAGCTATTTCCTTATGTTGAAATATAACTGACTCTTTAAAACTGTTTTTTATGTCTAATGTCTTTCAATAGGAAATGGCTTTAAAAATATGAAAGTTATCATTTTACTTATCTAACTGAAATGTTTGCTCTTTTAAAAATCACATTTAGTGATGTGATTAAAATATAAAAGCTTAAACCAATTAAATAGTAAAAGCTGTTAGAAATAAAATTTATCCTTGAAAATTTAGGGTAATCAAAAAACATACTGTACTTATAATTAGTTGGAAGATTTAGACTGGTACCTCATAACTGCCATTTACTAGTGAGGTGATCTGAGTTTCATTTGCTTATTTGTAAATGAGAATATTACCAATTTTCAAACTAATAGTGCTGCTGTGAAGATCAAATGAGGAATGCATGGGAAACTTGGTAAACTGAAAAGATATATATATATTATATGTCTATAGCGCTTTCTAGAATTCAACTCAAAACCAGGCACATTTGAGGTAGTCAGGAGGATAGGCTCTCACTTGCTGGAGTTCAGATGTGGCATCTCTGAATCTCATTTATTTTTACAATTTTTAAAATAAGGAGAATAATATTAATAGAACTATCTCATAAGATTGTGGATGAACTAAGTGACAGTATTTGGAAAACAAATGGCACCATGAGTGACACAAGTTAATTCTATGAAATATTTACTATTATTATTTCTATTTGGAAGAAAAACAATTCAACTTCATAGAACTAAGAAGTGTTCTATGATTATTTAATAAATTCATATTATGTAGAGGAGAATTAATCTTGGCCCATTGACCTTGACAGAGGCCAAATATCCAGACTATCTAACAGTCTATATCCCATGCTTGGTCAGCTCCTGGAAAAATTAGACCTCAATATGTATATTAAGACTGTACAAATCTTATATTCCATAATCCTTTATTTTGATCTACTTTGACTCCAGGTGGGTTGTCTGGAGAATGTCTCATAGATAAAGCAGCAGAATCTGAGACAAGGGACAGATTAGAAGTGAGTCAGTAGAAAATGCAGTTTCTACACTAGAATTTTATTAGTAACCATTGACCATGCTACAAGTTCACAGCACACATTGTTCTTCAGTGCTTTCTCTATGAAGATGTTGCAGAATGGGATGGGAGTGCTCACTATGCACTCAGGACTCTACCACTTTTTAGTTTAAGTATAAACATACTTTACCTATTTCCCTGGCACACCTGGCTAAGATTACCTTCTCTCTTGATGGTAGTTAGAACTTTTTCAGGTTGAAAGGTTTGAGGGGATTTTCTATCAGAAAGAAAAGCTAGATCTCTTGCTTTTTTTTCTGGTTAGCCTTTACACATGTACTTTCACTCTCTCACAGTTTATGAGTACTTGGATGGATCCTGTTCAAGTTTTAAAAATTCATTTTTGAACTGACATCAACAATATAAAGTTTCACATAAAAGAAATATTTGTGATGCAGTTATAAGTTATGGAAAAAGTTTAAAATGGAAATCTCTTGTCAAATTTGGAATGTGAGATTCATGAAATTTTTCTACTTTCCTTTACTGTTTCTAGTTTATAAATTCTTAGCTCACAGCCTGCAAAGACTGTTCATGTCATATACTTCTTTTTACAATTAAATTCATAAGTGGTACATTCACATGGCTCAAAAAATATGTTAAGGTGTACTGTGAGAAGACTTACTCCAATCCTGTTGTCCATATGTCTAGTTCCTATACCCTTTGCACATACAATTTTGATTATTAGCTTTTTCTACATTTCAGCACTTCTTTGTATATATAACAAACAAAAACATACAAAGACTTATTCTTGTCTCTTTTTTAAACAAAAGAATACAACTTTGCGCCTTGCTTGACTCACTAACAACATATGATATCTAGAAAGCTTCCTCATCCTTTCCTTTTTTACAGCTGCATGGTATTACGATTTAGGGGTAGGGTAATCCCTACAGGTAAATTTGTAATTTCAGAATAGTTTTAGGTTTACGGAAGAGTTGCAAGAATATCACAAGAGTTCCCATATAGCTTATACACAGTTTCCCCAATTGTTAATATTGCTATGGTGCATTTGGCACAACTAATGAGCAAATACTGATATATTATTATTCAAGTTCACTCTTTGGATTTCTTTAGTTTTTACTAGTCTTTTTTTCTGCCCCAGGATTCCCTCCAGAACAAACATTTACTCATCTCACCTTCTTAGATTGCACAATTTCTCAGACGTTCCTTGTTCTCAAAGGCTTTCACAGTTTCAAGAAGTACTGATCAGATATTTTGTAATGTGTACTTAAATTTGGCATAGATTTGATACTTCTGTCATGATTAGATAAGGAAGAAAGGTTTTGGAGAGGAAGACTACAGAGCCATTCTCTTCACACTATATCAAGTGGTAAAGAATCTGTCTACAAATGCAGATGTAGGAGATGTGGGTTTGATCCCTGGGTCAGGTAGATTCCTAGGAAGAGGAAATGGCAACCCATTCCAGTATTCTTGGCTGGAGAATCCCATGGACAGGGGAGTGAGGTGAGCTACCATCCATAGGGTTGCAAGGAACTGGACATGACTGGGTGACTGAGCATGCACACACCTTACTATGCATGCCTTTGCACCCACATCACATTGCTGTTTAACATGGCTCATCACTAATAACGTTAGTCCTTGGACCTGCTGAGGTTGTATTTGTCAGGCTTCCCTATATAAAGTCACTATTTTCCCTCCTTTCCGTGCTGTCCTCTTTGAAACGAGATGTGCAGCACATTCTTCAGAAAAGGGAACAGGTGTTCAACTTCTTCAGGATGCAGTGATGTGCTTAGTTGCTCAGTCCTGTCTGTGACTTTGCGACCCTATGGACTGTGACCCGCCAGGCTCCCGTCCATGGGGATTTTCCAGGCAAGAATATGGAGTGGGTGGCCATGTCTTCCTCCAGGGGAAGTATCTATAAAAATTACTGGGACTTCTACATCAGAGATTTCTCTATTTTGCCCCAGTTAATTATTTGCTGTTGTTCAGTCACTAAGTCATGCCCAACTCTTTGTGACCCCATGAACTGCAGTATGACAGGCTTCTCTGTCCTGCATTATCTTCTGGAGTTTGTTCAAACTCGTGTCCATGGAGAAAGTGATGGCATTCAACCATCTCATCCTCTGTCATCCCCTTCTTTTCTTGCCCTCAACCTTTCCTAGCATCAGGGTTTTACCAATGAGTCAGCTCTTCCCATCAGTGGACAAAGTATTAGAGCTTCAG